TACATGGTTAGAGATTAGATCGAGTAGACTCGATCATTATCCTGAGTAACAAGGAGCCATTGATGAGACCTGTCCTAATTTGCATTTTGAAAAGATTGCTGTGGTTACTGTAAGAAAGATGGTTGGGCAACCAGAGTTGATATGGAGAGGTAAATTAAGATCCGGTGACTGATTGCAAGAAGATGATGAAGAGGAAGGAAACATCAAGAATAATTAGCATGTTTCTAGCTTGTGTATGTAGATGTTAGTGACATTAACTGGAATGGGGAATATGGAAAAGGTTTGTACTTGGTCAATGTAAAATGATGAATTTGGTTTTGGACACTGAATTTGGGATATCTGCAAAATAGCCACCAAAGTACAGTGATTTCTTTCCCTTCTATGGTTTAATTACATCCCAGGACTAGGGATGGACTAGCTGTTCTTATGTCTATTTCTCTATTAAACCGCAAGCTTCTCAAGAACAGGAATTTGTCCTTCTACCTTGGTGCTTATGAAATCTAACACACAGCCTGGTAGATAGTAAGCACTCACATGCTGAAAGGGTTCAAGCACTCACATGCTGAAAGGGTTCAAGCCAGTGTGGCATTGCCTTAAAAGTTCTTTTTAATCTGACATCGACCTGAACTTGGAGTTCTTTTACATCCTGTAAAGCAGGATGACGCTCTTTTGTGTTTGTATCCTCACCATAGCACTGGTGTGTGGTTGGCACCTAATGGGTTTGAAACAAATGGACTCGCTTGGGTTTCTAGCCTCAACACTTGCCTGCTCTACCTCTTAACCAGACTGTAGCTCTCTCCAAAATATTTGCCACTTTCTGAGCCCACTTTAATACTCTGTGCCTCAGCATTTGTTATTTCTTTACCAGAATGAGTTGATTTCCTTTCTGTGCCTGATTAATGTCTGCCAAGCCTCTAAGACTCAGCTTGTATATTTGTCATGAAACCATCTCAGTCTCCCAGAAACAATGTTATGCATTTCCTTCCCTGTGATCTCACAGCACTTCTGCATAGCTATACTTGAGGACTCTCCCAGCTATTGGGCATAGTTCTTGCACTTCTCATTAGCATGTGAGTTTTTTAAAACAATAACCTTGTCTTGTTTGGTTCATATCCCTAGTGTACCAGGGATACACTGTACAGTACCATGCAGGATATTATAGGTATTCGATGAGTTAATTTAGATATTTTCAGCAAGGACATCTATTTTAATCAAATAGAGTTCATATTTTTTTGAAAGATTTTTTTTTT